CGACTCCCACTTTTTGATTTTCACTGGGTCATAAGCGCTCTTACGATTCCGACTCCCTCGCTAGTGAAAACCAGCCTTCGAAGCGGAAAACGTCGCGTGCTGCCGTTTAAGTGCTCAATTGAGGCTGGTTTTCACTAGCGACGGAGTTCGGAGTCAGAGTCGGAGTTGTAAGAGCGCTTGTGACCTGGTGAAAATCAAAAATCAGAATCGTACGCGCAGTCACAAGCGCGATGAAATCCGCAGTTTCCCTTTTTCTTCCGAGCCCGCTGAAGCGGAAGGCTAAAACAATCACAATGCACGTTCCTACGCTTTGTGATTGGTTTAGTTCTTCCGCTTCTGCTTCCGACTCCGACAATCGGTTTTTCACTGGATCATAAGCGGATTGTAAGCGGCGGAGTCGTAAGCGGAATCAGAACGATGTTTTCATTACATCATAAGCTCTACGTTTGTGATTACAACTCCGACTCCGTCGTCGCTAGTGAAAACCAGCCTTTACGTTCCTCGTATTTTCTGAAGCAAGGTTACGTCTTTTTTAGGTCGATGCAGTAGATGCATCTTACAAATCGATAGCTCTGCGTCAGGGGCGGATTCAGAATTTTTTTTAATTAGGGGGTCCAATCTTTGACTCGGAATCCTCAAACGAACAGATCATTTGAGAGTACCCTCCCAAAATTACATATTTTTCAAATATGCCTGAAATTTCATGGTGCCAAAAGGTACCGCGTTGCAATGAAAAATTAACCAGCTGAATCGTGATATGCGATCCTATAGATGCAACACTTTCAGGGTCAAACAAGTAATAAAAAACAACCGCAGGCCTGATGGGGGCAGGTCTGGACCCCGCCCCGACCCTCTCACTGGATCCGCCACTGTACGTCTTACGGTTATGGCGACTGGCAAGTTACAAACCACAAACTCTTTTTTCAGCCAAAGGTCTGCTTTTGGGTAATTCACTTGATGGAACCCCAACGGAACGTGGGAATGGCCATACCACACTTAAAATGTAAGATTAAATACAAAAGTGTGCCGCCTTTGCCAGTTTCGGCAGCCTTTTTTGTAGTGTAATTTTACACAATGTAAAAAAAACACATCAATGGAATATAATTTGTCCCCAAGTTAAGTGTATGCATTTGCCTTTCATAACAATATTTGGTTTAAAATTACACCCACAACTCAACAACATTTTCTACAATTTGAAATACGACATCAATCTAACAGTTTGTGTATAAAACGGTGAATCACACAGAACTAGAAAATATAGAAAATAACCTTTTTTACTCACTATAATTAACTTGTCCTCTACCAATAACTTGAAACAAAGTTGATGGTTAACATCTGAAACTTGCATTCAATACAGTTCATCAAAGGATGGGCACAGAAAAAAATGGGCCTTAAAAAGTCTGCATCCCTTGTTTGTTTTGCTTTGCTTTTCAATCTTATGAAACACTTCTTACGAAATTTGTACCCCTAATCCTCAAAAGAAAGAAGACATGCTTCTAGAAGCAAGGAACACAATTTTAACTGAAAACTCATTTACTCCTCTTTTTGCCATATAATGCAATATAATATTATTCTTTTGACAATATATAAGACCTGGGCACTAGTTTTATGAACTTTGGGTGCCTTTGATAAGGGTGAAACAAATGCAGCTTCTTTGCATACTTATTTCAGTCACATAAACAGTGACTGTAGCAGACATATAAATTACATGAAAGTATTAAAGCCAGCCCACAGATAGCCAGCCTCCCATGCAGACATTCCTAGGCCATGTTCTTTGAGGAGGATTGTGTGATGAGCCAGAAGAAAGTCTGCATCAGTGGAAGGCTAACTGATAGCAAAACTTGGGTTTAGTAATTTAAAGGCCACTAAGGATATAAGCTGTGAGCTGGCTTCCAGAGAGTAACATCTCTTCTTCTCTTTCAATGGTTTCTTCTCTGTGACAGTGCATTCTTTCACTTCCTCTAATCCCTTGTCTTTTGTAGCAGACACCTGCATGTAAAGTGAAATTATTTGATCATTGCTTTTAGAGAATATTACTTGCACATTTGTCTGGGTTACACAAGTAGTAGTGTTGAATTTTTAATTTTTGTTAACAGCTTTGTTTTCACACCATCATGTATTATGTTTTTGCTTCCCCAAAGTTTCACTTTGCAATTCAGGAACTTAAATTCATCCTGTAAATTGTGAGCATTTCTCTCCTCTAAATACCTACTTTGTTGGGATCTGCATATAACACAGGTTGGAAACGCTAAGGATATTATTTTGAATTTTAAAACATATTCAATATCACCACTCCCTGTGTGTATGGTTTAATAATTTTATAGTGAATGTTCCTGACATCTAAACGTAAGTCAGGCTGATATCTCCCAATAACACTGCCTGGTCGGTGGACAAGGGCCATGGTGGAAACAATAAACACAGCTAAAAGATTTTAGAACTTGGTATCAAAAATTAAAAGCTATAGATATTCAATTGCAAAATAACTCAAAACATTTGAATGCCAACTCTGGCACGGTTGGTGTGGAACCCCTAAGATTAAGCTTGGTAAATTCAAAAAAACTTGGGTTCATAGCTGTAAACATGTTCATTAACAACCACTTGAAATACTACAGAACTGAAAAAGGCAAAAGAGTAATTTTTAAGTTATGTGCTGTAAGAGTACAAAAATATATAAAACACAGTAATCAATGCACATTAAGGAGATGTGTAAATCAACTACATTGAACTTAAAGAAATCATTGACGAGTGGCTTTATAGCACCACATTCTAAATCATAGGAATAACAATAAATACAAAAGAGGCGAGGGAGAGCAGGATGTTAAATGAGCACTAATGTCTGTCAAGCACTTTGCAGGGTTCTTGGTCAGATGCAAGAGTACTACAGTTGAAACCTTCTACAACGGCCACCTTGGGGACAGAAGAATTGCCATTGTAGAGAGGTTGAAACAAGAGTGAATGTATGGACTGTCTGCCAAAAAATGGCCGTTATAGACACGTGACCATTGTGGAGTGATTCGTGGAGGTTCAAGTGAACATATATATAATTCTCCTCCTTGTAAACAAAAATTATGGAAAATTATGCCATACTCAGGAGGAAGTGACTGGCTGAGTATACATAAGGAACCACATCAGACAAGTTGCAATCTAGCAGTGCTTGGTTCGGGTCCTGCTGTGGTCACTTGCCTGATTTGTTCTTAGTCACTGCCTTGATTGTTAATAGTTTTAATGGTTGCCTCCAGTGCCAGTTGGGGTTTTTAATCCTGTTACGTTCTAATTGTTGAATTATTTGTTTACATAATGATTTGCGTGGAGTGCCTGTAGAAATAGGTGGAATGCATGCTAAGTGCACTTTTCAAAATAACAAATCTGGCACATAAAGCATGAAACAAGGATCAAAGATGCATTTTTTAGCCCTATATTTCATGCAAACTAGTTTAAATAAACTTGTTTTTCAACAATTTTGAAAGGAAATCTACCGAAAATGACAAACCAACCATGGGGGCAGCTTTCAATGCATACATTGGTTTCAAATGGGATCTGTAAAACCATAGAATAATGGGAAGTAAGGAAAATCTTTGTGATGGTGGTGCACACACGCTAATACAGAAACCAAGGCTTGTTTAGAGGCGGCTGGGGATGCACGTGATACTAAGGCAGGTATATATTTATAAAATCATGTTAGACCGTCTACTGCAACTTCTATATATAAAATTTAATAAGATAATAATTTGAAAAAAAAAGCAAAATGATAAATTGTAATGACTGACAAATAACGTAGTTATTGACAAAGGGATCTGAGAGCAGTTTCTAGCCAAGTTTAAGCAACTTCAATGAGATGCAGTTAGAGCAGCTGAGAATGCAAATGCTTTCTCTTAGTGCCTACCAAGTACATTATTTCAAAAATAAAATATTTAGCATGAAGTTTAAAAGCATAAGGGGGATTGGCTGGATTTACAACAATTTGATTTGAAGTGCGGGTTGAACCAGTAGAAATTTACATTTTCAATCAACTCGTACTCAGTATTGCAACTTATGTACCGGTCAAATCGAAGCTTCAACATGCCCCCCCCGGGCAACCCCCCGGGCATTTGACTTTTTTGAAAATTATTGTTCAAATTCCCCCCTACCCGGGCCAAAATGCCGTTCAAATGCCCCACACTGGGGTCCATTCAGGTGATCAAATGCCCCCACCCCGGGGACATTTCACAGGCAGAAAAATGACAGAAGGACGGCGGAAACGCCTTCAGTTGTTGAACAAAATCTTTATAAATATAGCAAAAACTGAGAAACACTGTTAGCCTATTTACTACGATCAAAAGTCTCGTGCAAAGCGGCGGAAATCGATGCTACAAGGTCACTAAATGCTCAGCTTTTCTTTCTCATGCAACATACAAAGCGTTCTATAAAAAAGATTCCACCTATTGAGATTACTACATCATGACCATTTCACTGACACGCATCATCGCTCACCTTATTAATCAACATACTTGCAGTAGATCATTAAGTAGTTGACCTGAGCTTTTTATTCTATTTTATTTTATGTTGCTGTATTAAATCGCCGCTATAGGTATGGTATTTCACACCCTGATTTCATTGTAAACACAACAGCAAAATACATTCATACATTAAAAGCCTGAATCCAATATTAAAAATTTTAAATTTAAATACTTCAAATACGCCACAAAGCTTGTTTAAGCCCTTTCCTCGTAACCAATTGGCCACAAAGGCACAATCTTTTCCACTAAAATCCTCTAACACCGCGTCCCCCATGGCTCACCACGCCAAAGATTTTACATGAAATCGAGGGTGTAGTTCAAATTCCCCACCCCTAAAGCATGGGGATCAAATTCCCCACCCCCTGAAGGACTCTGATAATCAAATTCCCTCCTCCCCGGGACGGCAAAGGTGTCAAATGCCCGGGGGGGGGGCATGTTGAAGCTTCGATTTGACCGATACATTATACCAACTGACGTACCTAGATCAGGGACCAATTTAGGTACCTTAAGGATTTCCAGACGATGAAAAATATCTAATTTGTCGTGAAATTGCACAAGATTCGCAAACCTTTGCTGTTGCACTGCAGTCCAAGCAACGACGAAGAATACCAGCTTCGGAGTCACAGAGGTGACACCTGTTGTTCTTTGAAAATGAACCTTCTTTAGAAAAGTTGTCGTTAGAGCAGGTTGTCGTAACTTGGCACACACATCGTCTACTCTTGACAGTCTTTTTATAGCGAAGATCAGCGTTAAGCTTAAGTTTACAACTAGAGGTTTTCTGGCTTAATTATCGCTGAAAGCGAGGTTCGAAAGCGAAATGGTAAGCTGCCAAACATACCTGCCAAAGATCATGATCAGTCCACGTCGTAAATCGTCGCGATCCTGTTCACCGGCATCATCCGAAATGCTCGCACTAAGCTGTTCTTCCCCTGCTTTCCGCAGTGTCCGCCTGCAACCAAACGAACGGGTCTGTTGAAGTGTCAACAACACCAGAAAGGATAGGTAAACAACGAAGGCAAAAATAATGAACAAAATAAAGGCTTTCACAACTTACCGGCCCATTAAATACTGCTTTGCACGTTAAAATATAACCTCAGTGACAGCGTGCTGCAACAGATTTTATAATAAGACCGATAAACGTGTAATTACAACACGTTTTATCCAACATCCTGCACCATCCGGTACATCGCTTTCTCAGTCGTACTATAGTACGTACTATGGCAAGTGCTATGGCGGGTGATACCTGGTAATTTGGGTATCATTTTTACGGGTGATACCCAGTACCCATTGAGTGAATCGGGTGTGGCCGCAATTTTTTTCGGCAATACTTTCAGTCAGCGGCTTCAGATGGAGCACAAACAACGTTGAATTTCGCTACTCAATGTGTCCTAAACTAATGAGCCCGAAAACTTAAAACAGGCAGAAATCCTGCGTTACAGAATAAATGTATATCTCACGAATTTCGATGTCCGAGATTTCCTTGCTTGCACACCACCTACCAGATTACTACTCGGTCGGATTTTAGGATCTGTCCATTGGCATGTTTGGGTTTCACAAATTGTCCAATCGCCGAGATTTACCAATCCTGTATCGAACATTACAGTCAAGATTCATAGCGCGCAACTTTTTAGACAATTTCATCTATTACTAATTAAGTAATAGAATCCGATATCTTGATTGTTAGGGGACAGACTTTATTGCGCCAAGGATTCACGCGAAGGAGTAGCCTGATGACACTCAGGCTGATTCAAGTACCACAGGTAGCGCAAGCTCGAAATATGAGCATCGGCATTGTTGCGTAACATTATAAGGATTTGTATGGGAAAAAACCTATCGTTTCTGTAACCTACGAAAATGAAAGGATTTCAATAAAAAAACAGCTTACCTTACTTCATGTGTGTTACGTCTCTCCTGTGTGATCCACGGGCCGATTTATGGCCGTTTTATGGGTTTTTATGTAAACGGTTTTCTCTCTATATGAAGGTAAACCTTTATATAGAGCGATATTAGCACTTCAGTGCTACACTGTAAATTCGAGGGTAAATAAAGTTTATTGATTGATTGATTTGATTGACGTAACACACATTTTAAGTAAGGGAAGCTGTTTTTTATTGAAATCCTTTCATTTTCGTAGGTTACAGAAACGATAGGTTTTTTCCCATACAAATCCTTATATTTTGAATGTTACGCAACATTGCCGATGCTCGCCGATGCTCATATTTCGAGCTTGGGCTACTTGTAGTTGTACAAGTGCAATTATAAAATTTGGCTTTTATAATGGCTTTAGGAACAGCATTCACAAACTGTTGAATAGAACACGGTTGATGATTGGCTAAAATACGGCTAAAAATACATTTTTACGTCAGCAAACTACCTGTCCAATCATCAAGCTTATTGCACCACAACAAGAAATCCAAGATGGCGGATAACAATGTAAATAAAGCAAGCAAAATTTTTATATTTGCCGGTCTTTTTCCGAGTTTAAACTCAGCCACGGAGGAAAACCATGGGTTGGAAAGAGAACGGAAAGTTTGGAGTGACATCTGGGCGAACAGTTCGTTCGCCTTTCGCAAGTTCACCAAACTGCTTCCGTGGCGAAGAGATGGTCCTGAAATTTACCAGGGGAACAGGAAACTTATCCGGCGATGCATTGCAAGATTTCCTGAAGGAGAACGATATAGACGATGGTCTTGGAGATTTCAATGAGTTTACGACCAGGTTAATGAGAGTTCAAGGTGTCGACCGCTCCTGCGATGTTCCTTACTCCCTCAAAAAACGAAAACGATGGCAACTAGAAGAGAATGTAAAACGAATTGAAGATACCAAGGAAACTGCCCCTAATGTGACTTTTATTCACCGACGAGTGGACAGAAACCTCACAGCAGATTGCTTTGAAGTAGTAAGGGCTAAGGCAGGCGAGGTTTTGCAGCCCATAAGACGAAAATATGCAAAGGCACAAGATTTGCTTAAGAGATCTGACAAGGCTGAACTGGAACCAGAGGTTTGCTACGAGATGACGTATCGTTATCCAAGGAATGAGTATCCACAGTGTAAAGAAGTCCAACACAGGTGGAGATATTACTCAGGTCGGTTTGATGCTGTCCCTGGCAAGGCATTGTGCAAGAGCAAGAGTGTGAAGAACAAAGGGCGTCGTTGGGGTCTGTACTCTGATGCTGACCTTAGAAGTGGACACATAACAGAAAAGAAACCAGTGCTGCAGCAGAACTCACAGAAAAACACTCCAGGTGGAAAAGTCCAAGTCATTGATTCAACTGAGTTTCGTAAATGTGATGATTTTGAAGAGAGTTCTCCCTTTTGTGGAACATTGGATCTTGGATTTTACATGTTGGAAAGCTCGAAAACTCTGAGGAAACAAACCAAGAAGAACAAGCACAATCCTGATCTGACACTTAGCACTATAAAGGATGGCTCAATGAGACATAACTTAACGTATGGAAAGAACAGTGTAGTGTACATCGAACAAGAGCCAGAGGAAAAGTCTTCGGCAGACTTGAGCTCCTCTGCCACTGAAAAGAAAACTGAGGCACCAACATGCCCGATGTTTCAACCAGAGAACAAGACACTTGCTACAGTTCCTGTGTATGTCAGTGACCTGAAACCCAACAGTCTTGAAGAAAAGTGGGGTTGTTTGTACTCTGAAGCAAACAGCTTTCCACGGAAGTTCACTATTGATTTAATGCCTGCACTTTATGACAGAAATAATGAGAATATTGAGTTTTGCTTTGTCTTGTTTGAAGTGATTAGGGAAGCCAGCAGTGCAATGGTCTCTGTGGAAACCAATGTTAGTCTGAACATTGTAGAAGCTGAAGACTCAGACACTTTAATCTGCGGGGCCAATGGAAAGTTCTGCTCTGGATTACAAACACATGGTATTCAAGAGGCCTGGAGAGTACAATATGTGGTTGACTGTGCGCTAGAGTGCTTACATTCTCTCGTGCCTTCTCTACAGCTCCCAACTAGAAAAACAACAAGCCATTGCCAGAAAACATGGAGGTCTCTTCAAGTGCTAGGCGATTTGTTTGGATGGAAATCTGAGCTTTTTACGCCTAAGCAGATGAAAACAGAGTTGCTCAAGAAGATAAAAAAGCATGAGAAAAGTTTTCTCCATAAGAATGACACTGATCACTGTATTACGCCTGATGATTTCAACACAGTAGAAACACTAGGGATTTCCGATTGTGGAATATGCTGCAATGAACTGGGTGAGTAACTTTATTTAGTTTGATCAACTAAATTTTGCTGAATGAGTGCTTACTGCTATCCCCTGCATGCCTTGGGAAAGCTTGAAAAAGGAAAGGAATGCATATGTAGTATTTACCTGTGCAGGTTCAAGTTATGTAGTCAAAATAAATCCTTTGAGCCTTCATAACTGGATGACAATGGGATTGGGAAATCAAAATAAATTTAAGACACATATTTCTTTTTAAGGACATGGTTCAGCATGACCGGGGAAAGGGGGGGTACAAATGCATGTTTGGCCTGTAAAATAGGATGTAAAAGGGTAAGGGGTTGGAACTTGGGGTATAGACCTTTGTTAAGTACCCCTTCCCTCTTTCACCCCCCCTTTCCCCCTCATGACCCATGCCAATATCTTCTGCTTATATACCTAACAATCCAAAAACATGACAACAACTTAAAATTATTTTGATTACAATCTCAGTTAAAATTTATTGAAAATAATGTCACATAGTTACCCCAGCATACATGCATGTGTCTGAGAGTTACAATAATTGAAAATTGTCACTGCAGAAAAGGGAAATTTTTTTTCCATTTTATGTTGCAACTGCACATTTACCAATGGGTGCTGATGGATTATGTAGGTGGCCTCCTGTTAAATAAACAAAAGATAAGCTTTTCTAGCTGAGTCAATAATGGTATAAAAGCCAGCTGAGCGTGCATTGGCATCTGCAGTTACAAGAAGTAAAAAGGTGTTTTTTTCACTTTTGCCACATGCACATTCACCCTATCACCTTCCCTGATTGCAGATTCAGATACTCAGATTATAGAATCAGGTGGAATGCTTACCTGTATTGTTTTACGTTAATAATGATGGCGATGTTAGTGATTGGAGGGATCGGGCTTGGAGTTTGTTACTTCTTTCTGTCTAAATGGAGGTGTGCTGAGCACTGGGTTCTTTGAGAGACTTTGGAGCCCCTTCGTGCAAGAAGAGGGGAGCCCATTTAAAAAAAAATTGTTTAAGTGAGATCGTGAAACATGTGCATGAAGTTTTATGGTTTAGCACCATTTTCTTTATACACTCAGGGATGTACATGTAACTAAGGAACAGCTAAGCAGGGTTTTTTTTCCATTAGTCAAGCCAGCTTTTATGCTCAACTACACTTTCAAAATAATTTACTTCATGTCTTTGTTTTCCAGAGCAATCCGAGTTGGCCGTAAGCTCTTTTCCAGCTGCTGAAATCAGCTAGCAGCCAGCTCTTGGCGACATCCCTGTTTATAATGCACCTCTTTTACCCCATTTGTCTGGGTATTAAGCCTTGGGATGTTGCATGGGCCTCCAAATTTGATGTGTTAGTTGGCGTCCATTTTTAAATTTTGATTATTGTTATTATAAATTATTTAAATTAATATTACACAAAGAGTGAAGAAAGTTGAGCTTAGAGCAGTGCTGAATGAGGTGTAGGGAAGTTTCTGAAGGGAAGTTAATGCCTATCTATTAAGTAACATTTGTAAATTTTTTGTAAATTGCATATAGGGTTGTATTACTATTTCTAATCTTTACAACATTTTTATTTTTTATAATATCCTTTTATAGTCCGATATTTTTGCTTTTTATATTGTAGATTCCAATTCAATTTTCTTTTGTAAGTTTTTAACAGGTGAAGAGCCACTAGGTGGATTCACTGTTAATAAACCATTATTATTATTATTATTATTATTATAGGTGGCTTTAATGATGATGATGATGATGATTATTATTATTATGTTTATCATTATTATTAAAATTTTTATAATAATTATTATATAATCATCATTATTGGTTGATGTGTTCTTAAAATAACGCTGTAATTTGTTTAACAGGAGATGAACAAGTAGTTCCATTTACAGCTCTAAGAGTTTGCCGCCACGTATTCTGCAATGAATGCTGGGAAGCCCACCTCAAGATGCAAATCAGCATTGGAAACACAGATCTTCAGTGCCCTGGATACGAGTGTGATGTCAGCCTTGATGAAGTCACAGTTATGGCTCTGATTCCTTCATGGTTTAGCAAATACATCTCCAGAAGGCTTGACAGATTGGCAAATTTTGAGTTTCAATTTTGTCCATCCAAGGGCTGTGCACGCACTGTCAGAGCAGCAACTTGTGATTTCATTGCCATGAAAACGAATCCGGTGCCTGTAGACTGTAGTTGTGGAAGTCTTTGGTGCTTTCAGTGCCGTAGACCTGCCCATTGGCCTGCGTCCTGCGCTGCTGATAAGAGATTCCACGAAGTCAGCAAGAATTATCTTATTGAGATGGAACTGAACGAAGAAGAGATGATAACCTCAGTGATGGTCAGAAATTGCCCTATCTGCCATTATCCAATCGAGAAGCATCTAGGCTGCAGCTTCATGTATTGCATAATGTGTCAGACGGCTTTCTGCTGGGAATGCCTGACACCCATGTCAAACCACAAGCAAGGCTGTCAGCAGAAAGAACAGTCTAAAGAAATTGAGCTGGAAGATTACAGCACCGGTACCAATCACTTTACGAAATACTTCACTGTCTACCGTGAAAACAAGAAGGCTCGCTCCAGTATGACTCTGTCTCGTCAAAGGAAAAGGCTCCGACTTGTTGAGCAAACTATTGGAAGGTACAAAAGTATTCTCTCCTCTCACTCATATGTTAACCAGACTGTGGACAAAGCCCTTCAGACAAACCTCCAAGAAATCCTCAGGTATGGCGTGGAACTAACGTATGTAGCACGCTTTACACTCGAGGGTGCGGCAAAGGTGGCTGTCATTTCAAGGTCAGCTTGCCGATCAGGCTTGCAACATGACATGGAACGCCTGCAATTCATTGTTGATAAAATAGAAGCCTTAATGGAGAGTGACCTTGAAGGACTTTTGAGATGTAATAATTTGGATAAATTAACTGACTTCTTGCTCCGTGGAAAAGACTGCATTCTTAAAATTGGATGGTTCCTGGCTAGATGGCAAGTAAACTGGAAAGTAAATTAACTACACATTTTGCTTCTGAGAGTAGCTAGCTTTCGATATGGCTCCATGTAAGGGAATCCAAGACAGTCTTCAGGGGCGGATCTAGGGGGTGGGTGAAGGGGGTGCGCACCCCCTTGAGATGACCGGCGGCTTTCTAATACAGTTATACAAACTCTGCTGTTCGTTTGATATGTATTATCGGCAGTTCACGTAATGTTATTGCCTAGTCTAGGGCTGAAATTCGGGTGCATTATTTTGTTTACAAGGCCATTAACTGGGGGGGGGGGGGCAATGTACGGTAACCGTTGATGAGCAATGAGCTGCTTTGTTCCTGCAAATCGTACCCAGATCTCTGGTTTACGAAGCCGAAGGTGAGTTCTAGTCAAGTAAGAAAATTCAGTTGTTTTGATTGGCTAGATTGTCAGCGAATGACGCGAGTGGTGTCTCCTGCGCGCGCTATGGCATGTGCAATTCATTCTTGGCAAAGTCTTCAGTTCTTTTCAAATAAATATTTTCGCTGAAGAAGTACTTTTCCGTCTCAATATAACTTGTAAAACCGTTTTTATCTCCTCTTTATTTCGAGCATGCGCCCGTTATCGCCTGTCACATTCCTCCAGATCTCCAGACCAGACCAGACCAGATCTCGCCTACGGCTTCGTCAACAAGAGATCTGGGTACGAGATTATTGTTCCTACAATAAAGCAAAACTTTACCTTGAACGAGTTTTCTGTGGAGGGCCGTAAATTGCCCTGATCGCTAATAATACTAAACAGACACATACAGCGCAACGCACCAATCAGAATTCGAATCAAATTCACGAAACCAGCGCCAGGCGCAAGTAACGACGTGCGAGCATGACCTACAGTTAAAACATAACTAACTAAATGAAGGTTTACGTTTTTGTGTAATTAATTTGAATTACGAACATCAGAGTCTCGTATATTTCTTGTACAAAAGCCTGGGAATACAGTTTGTTTTGATTTGATTTGATTGAGGACTCAATCGGCGTTTGTTAAGTCTTATACTGCGTTACGGAACGCTCAATTACTAAGACCACAGGTAACCCAGGCTCTGTGATAGTACCACAGTATGGTTCCAGTGAGTAAAAAATACGATCAGAAAATTTGTAGGAAATACGGAATAAAGGTCAATGAAAGTTTCCCTGCAGTTAGTTGTTATTGTCCTTAATGCTCAAGCGAATTTCTGTGATGATTTGTCACGTTTACGGCAAACGGCAAACGGCAAACGTCAGATTCAAGTTGAGAATTTCTGAAAATGGATAATCAGTATATAAAAACTGTCCAAAACGATTCTTATGGATAAAACTAAGGTGAAACTACCAATATGTTTTGTAGTAGTAATTAAAATCGTCTTACTTTACGTCAGTCGATAAATAGCTTGAGTGTGGGTGGTTTCATTTTAGTTAAACTCGTTTGAAACGTAACCAGAAAAAAGTGTGACAGCAGAGCCACTACTTTATCTCGAAGCGTCCGCGAAGATAAAGTATGTGTGTTTGTCTCATTAATTGTATATTTTGATGACGGTTCTATAAGTATATTGACGCCAGGTAAAGAGTTTTGAAGGCAGTTTAAGGAGCAATAAGAGTCTGATGAAATAACTAAAATTGTGTGGAAATGCCCATATAGAGTCTCAATATGGGTAACAAAATCGATGTCAAGACGATCGCTATTGACATTGCCTTTCCGATCATGTTTGACAACGTTACAGTATCGTTAGTCGTGCGATGATGGCAAAGACATCTGCCAAAAAGTGTGCTGCACGTTATGAGCTTTACTCTACGTTTGCTTTTCATTTTTATTTATTATTATTTTACCGTTTTCCGTCACCGTCGTTTTGGTTGCTCGATCTCGCCAGTAGTATATCATGCAGAACAATTTTTGATGTGACAGTTTCATTGAAAACGAACGATTTGATGGAAAACGCGCGGCGAAAGCGACGTTCTGAGGCAGACATAGAAAAGCTCAATATTTGAAGAATACGAGTTTTAGGCACTTTAAAACGACTTAAATGTTAATTCTTTCCGGGGGATCATTAGTATGGTGATGCTTTAAGACCTTCAGGGTTCAGTCCACTAAAAAGAAGAGGTACCACCCAATGAACATTCCGTCCTTTTGTTTTTAACCTGCTATACTCTACGCTGGGGTTTTGGAAGATGTGGTAAAAGTTAGTGTGGATTGGGAAAAAAAAAAAAATCATGGCTACTCCCCTGGAAGTGATAAAAATCTATTATTAGGCCCAATGCTGCCGCGTGCAATGCTACGTTTTTGGTGTGCAGAATCAGCTTTGCAGTTCAACGCGACTTTGAAAGACGCGTGCTTCACATATTTGTGGCCGATTAGAATGCCGGCTTTGTCAGAAGTCCTTTGTTTAAGGGACGGACCATTAAAAAACTTATGGAAGGGGGGGGGGGGGGGGAAGTGCAAAAAAAAAAAAAATTTGCGCAAGGGAAATTTCTCATTTATTTCACTTATCGAAACAAATAAGTACTTTTATCAGTTTTCCCGTTTCTTTCAAAACATCCTTCAATTCCGGGCGTTTCACTGTAGTCAATGAAAGACACGTTTTAGCAGTCTTCTTTTAGGCGGGAATATCTTAACTCCCATCTTTCAAAACGCAATGAGCCAAAGCTCGCAAGGTACCAAAGCGTCAAATGCGCACGATGCAGTCCCGATGTTTTGTGAGCACCCGTTAAAAATACTGAAAGCCAAAACTATCAAGTTTTGGTACAACGAGGGACAGCTAGTTTCTGTACCCAAAGGTCAGTGCATGGACAGGCTATCGAAGGAATACAAGAGGCGGTAAACATGATCGACTACAAAAATTTCCCTTCTGTGGCTTAATTAAGAAGCTTGGGTTGCAAAGTGTTTGTAAAACACAACCGAATCAATTATCGTACGTTAAATAAATCAAAGCATTACTTTAGGAGGGGAACATTGGGGGGTACCCAATACCGCAACACCGTAAGAAAAAATGGCAAATACCGAAATACCGCGTCGAAAATCGTCTAAATACCGATACCGCATATTTTAATCACATTTATAACTTATGGTTGCTTCCATCTAATTCTTGCCAAGATTCTTGGCAAGATACCCAATTTTTTGCAAATTTTTACTGAAAAGTAAACTACGTTTGTTCAACCTTGTGGTAGGTCGACCCACCAGTTAATTAACGATAATAAAAATAACTCTTGAAAGCGCGAAAAACAAACCAACCAAAAACCTTTCCACCCACGTCTAGTGCGAGTTCTGTTAAGTGAGTCTAGTCTAGCGCGTCAGTCTCTCAGGGGTCAACTATCTCGACTGTCTCACTTGCCGCGCCGGTAAGAGGCAAACTTACCAAGTTACAAGGCGTTTTTCAATTCTCGAAACCCGACATCTAAATTTATTCTTCTTGCGACAATGTTCGCCTCCTTCGCCCTCTTCAGAAAAAGTTGCCACACAGTCAATGATGACCACGCCGTCAGTTCAACCTCAGCGACCTCAGCCATTGTGAGTAAACGTGTAAGACCTCGAATTACCGGCACATGAAAGCCTGGTAAAATACCTTGAGGCGACTCATTATCATTGCATGCAACAACAATCACATTGTATATTATCGACCATAATTAACTGTCACACAATGACCCACAAATGGTGTAATCATTTACCTTTACGTCTCAAGACCACTAAATATTAACTTTTATTGACCTTTATGAGGGTCTCAATGGGGTGCTGTCTTTTACGGTTATCGGCTAAAACGTTTTTTCAGTTACGGTTAACAAAGAAGTTAAAAATTAATTTCCTTTGTTTCAAAGAGTTAAATATTAATAAACCTGTATTTTTTCTAACTTTAAAGCAAAATAAAGATCTTAGGATCATCTCGGGATGAAATAAGCTATTGAAAAATTTTAACATTTAATAGACCATACTTCATACACTATTCCACTTCTAATGTTATTTTATGCATAGAAATTGTCAACAGCCAATATAAAAATAATCTTTGTGAAAAAGCAAAAGCAGACACGCGAACGCTCAACTCAAGGCCGGGGCGCGAATTCATTTATAACAGAAATGGCCGCTTTCACACTAGAGACGGATCATTCGTGTGAGACGGGTTATTGCGTTTGATAATTCGCATCAGATAGGTAATACGTCTTAATTTGAAAATGGAATGTTTTTAATTTTGAATGAACAATTCGCCTGACTTTATCTGCCAATTTTGACGGACAGTTTGAAGCTGGATTATCCGTTCCAGATAGCCTGTGTACAGCCACCCCCTCCCCTCAGAAAAAGAAAAAAAAACAAAAACAAAAACGGAAAAGGGGTGTCTGTGGGGGAGGGGGCGACTGTACACAGGCTAGTCTCAGACGGATGATCCGTTTTCTAGCTCTACTATCAAAACGGCCAATAACAAAATTCCCGCGTCCAGTATTTTTAATGATAGAGAAAGGACTGTACAGAACGCCTGTCTGCGGTGACTTGAATTGTCCGTAGGCCTCATTATCCCGCGCGGCTAATTCATTCCGGGTCACGTGGTCCGGGCGAGTTTTTTTTTCCTCAGGTATTCCACCGAAATGCCTTGACCGAGATTGCGAATGTCTAGCTGAGTGTAGCGTCAGAAAAGAAACAGGGAATTGTTGTTTATCAGCAACGTGTTTTACAAACAGTGACATCTCTGCATGTTGTTTCACCAGTATTTCGAGGGCACGACCTCCTTAAAATCACAAATATTAATCCTCAGCAAGGAGCCAGATTTTCCCTATGGAAAAAACTTGGTTCTTCGAGTGAGCGGCGGAAATGGAGCCTAGGTCTAGGTCAACTCCTAAAAGGAGCTTGGCCTAACGTGCGTACGGAGTCAAAGTAGCCGGGAAATAACGCAACCATAATTGAATTTTATCACCTTCCTTAAAATTAACAAATGTAGGGAACAGTTTCTTTTACGGTTAACTCTTTTTTTACCCTGTTTAGAGGGTCCCAATGGAGTGGTGGCTTTTACGGTTATCGGCTAAAATTTTGGCTCCTTTACGGCTATCGGTTAATTTTTTTCAGTTACGGTTAACGAAAAAGTTAAAAATTAACTTCTTTTGTTTCAAAAAGTTAAATATTAATTAACCCGTATTTTTTTAGTGTATCTTTAAATCAAAATAAAG